CGAAGATAGACTTTGTGATTTATTTAAAATCAAATGTGAGTAGAGTTTAGGCGAGGCTTTTTTACCAGGCGATCTTGGGGTTCTTGGTCACTTCGCACGCATAGGCGGCGTCTCACCGGGGACAATAACTCAACTAGCCGAATTGGTGCACGTTGGATGCTTATATGGAATTGACTAGTGTTGTATATAGGTAACTATTTTTCAGTTTCGCACTATAAGTAAGCCCTAAACTTAGTTTCACCCAATTTTGATATACAAAATTGGGTTTCGCCTACAATACTAGAATTAACCATATTAGTTGATGACCTCTACTGGCCGTCCTTTGAATTCTTTGTGAGATCTACTAATTCTGAATGATGAATTAGTTATGTACCTTCCTCTATACACAAAGAGTCCTTTATTCACATATGTTCGCATATTAATCATAATTTTTTTAGACTAAATCGAATTAGATAATATTAAAAAACCTAAAGGAAATCATTGTTACTTAATTCTTTGAAAATTAGCCTCGCCATTCCTCAACACCGCATTATCGACATACTAACCCACTTAGTATCGCCACCAAAATCAGATACGTATATAATCACTAAAATTTTAATCTAATTTATGAGATTTTTATTTATTCGATTTATTTATTAAAGAATTAATTTAATTCTAAGCATTGAATCATATTCTAATATTTCGTCAAATTAATTTAATTCCTAATAAAAAAAAATATTTTGGTTTTTTTGTCAGTTCAAATTCATAATGTTATTTACTGTTTTTGAATAAAGTTTGATTCGATACTTTTAGCCATTTTTTTGACTCAGATGATTAATAGACTTTTTGAGATATTCAAGTGTCTAAAATAATATTAACACATATTCATTTAAATATAATACGTATAACTAAAAAAATTTTTACCTCGTGAAAAGTTTTTTCCTGTACCTTAAAATTTCTAATTCGATATGCTTTAATCAGTACTGCAGTATTCGATATGCTATAATTAGTACTTGATTCTTCATTATCTATAATTCAATAACTTGTATGTGATTAATTAGGATTTTGGTACAATTCACTGACAGCAATCGTATCGGTATGGGCGGAATTTTTTGATTTGGTGATTATTATTGCATAATAACTAGTAAAATTGTATTGTATAGTTTTATTCGATTGGTCAATTGCATTTCTTAGCTAAAAATTGCTTAAGAAACTGTTTTTAATCAAAATTATTTGATTACGTAGTCAATTTTTCTTAACTATAGATAAAATTTCATAAAATTGTTTCGGTATAACAAATTTGATTGGCTAGATATTTTATGTTACACATAATTGGATAAAAATATTTTTTTTTTCTGATAATCACAAACTTCGAAGAATTAGAAGAATTAAGAAATGGACGCTAAGGAACATAAAGCTCATAGACCACGTCAATCCGGCGTTAAGAAAGATAAAAAAACAAAAAAACAGAAAAAAATCGAAGATAAAAATCCCAAAGTATGGGGGGATAATAATCATTATTTTTTGTAAACTATAATTTTTATTGATTAACTCAAATTTAGGCTTTTGCACCGTTATCTGGAAGAAAAGCCGAAAAACTTGCAAGACGTAAACAAGAATTAATCCAAAAGAAACTCCATGCTCCACTTGTAGATCGAACGCCGGTAGAACCTCCTCCTACCGTTGTTGCGGTAGTCGGGCCACCTCAAGTATGTTTTCCTCCAGAGTCGATAGAAAAATTTATGCGCTACCTATTTAATCTTTTAAATTGGTAACTAAACAATTAAATACTGCATTGAAAATTATTAGACTGGTAAATCGACGTTAATAAAATCCCTTGTAAAACGATATACTAAACACAATCTAACAGAAATTAATGGACCTATCACGGTCGTTAGTGGTATTTATTGCTAAAAACTTTTGTTTGCGTAATTCATTAAATTATTCACCATCTCGTAACGAATCTTTGCTAAAATATTAAAGGTAAAAAAAGGAGGATAACATTTATTGAATGCGCAAATGATATGAACTGTATGATTGATATTGCAAAAATAACTGATTTGGTGTTGTTATTAATCGATGCAAGTTTTGGATTTGAAATGGTAAATGTGAAAAAATTTTTTATGTCTATTTTAATCATAGTTCAAATATTCTCTAAACGATCTTTTGTAATATTTTGTAGGAAACTTTTGAATTTTTAAATATACTGCAAGTTCACGGTTTTCCAAAAATCATGGGGGTCCTTACACATCTGGACAAATTCAAAAATAATAAAACGCTTAAATCAACTAAAAAACGGTTAAAGCATCGTTTTTGGACAGAGATTTACCAAGGTGCCAAACTTTTTTATCTTTCGGGAATAATAAATGGTCGATACCCAAACCAAGAAATTCAAAATTTGTCAAGATTTATTTCTGTAATGAAGTTTCGACCTTTAATATGGAGAAACACGCATCCATATTTGGTCGCTGACCGTATAGAGGATTTAACTGATCCTGAAGAAGTCCGGATGAATCCAATATGCGATCGTACAGTGACTTTATATGGATATTTACGTGGAACAAACATGAAACCCAACATGAAGGTATGCCCCAATTAATGTTAGCTTACGTTTTTTACATTCTTAATAAGTTAAATGCTGTATGTTTCAAAAGGTACATATCCCTGGCGCTGGTGATCAATATTTGGCGGATATTTCAATTCTTCCCGACCCATGCCCGTTACCAGATAAAGCTCGAAAGAGCTTAAGTGAAAAACAAAAACTCATTTATGCTCCAATGTCGGATGTTGGTGGGGTCATGTATGACAAAGATGCAGTATATATCAACATTCCAGGGAATTTTACAAAGACTGATGATAATGAAGGTTACTGGAAATGATTATTTTTATTTACCAATGTTTCAAGATTTTGAACCTTTTTAACATGCTTGATATCTAACAGAATTTGAGAAAGGACTAGGCGAAAGGATGGTGATCGACTTGCAAGAAGCTTCAGACACACTTGCATCTAAGTTACAAAAAGCATCACTTTCTATTTTTGCAAATTCTGCACCTTTAAAAGCTTCTGATCTGACTGAAAAGTTGCCACAAACTTTGTCATCTTTATCGTGATCCGAGTCATCCAACTCGGTGAGGTTTTCATCTTCAAGACTTCCTGTAATAAATTTGTTTCTAATAGATTCAAGCATCTAATGAATATTTAAATAAAAAGCAATTATTGGAAAAAATTTTGTAGTTTGACTTTGGATGCTAAACCATAAAATACTTACAGTTTCGTCTTCCCATTCGTCAATATCTTTAATATCGAAGCATAGTTTAGAAGAATCAATTGATTTCAAAATCTCGGTATTTCCAGTGTCGGTGTCTGCAATTTTGAAGAAGTCATCTTCAGATTTAATAGAACACCTGTCATTTTTATTTCTAGCATCCTGAACTTGATTCGAAACGTTATTAAGCGCTACTTCGTCGGGTGCCTTTTCACCATAAATTAATTGCATAATATTCACTCTACGATTCGAAGAGAATGTATTTTCTGCTTTACTCGTTAAATTAGATTTCCATCTCAATGCACCATCAAGATCAGATTCACTCTCATTCAATTCTTCATCGTTTTCAGCACTTGTATCATTATCACTTTCAACGAATGCGATTTCTTTATTAATATTGCTTTCCAAATTTTCCATCTCATATTTGTTCAACGCTGCCCTTCTGTCAAATTCATTTAATAAAGAAATCGCATTCGTTGAAAGTGAT